GGGCATTTCAAAGTCAATTATCCTAATAAGAGAATAGGTGGGAAGAAGAACAACAACAAGACTGAAAGACGAGAAGGAAAGGAAGAGGCGAGCTATGCTTCAGAGGATGGGAGCGATAAGGACTGTTATGTCGTCACGGGTGGCGAGGATACCTCCGGGAAGTGGATTCTTGATTCTGGTTGCTCTTACCACATGTGTCCAAACAGGAAGTGGTTTACTACCTACAGGAGCATTGATGGTGGAACCGTATTGATGGGGAACAACCATGCTTGTAAAACGATGGGGCTAGGCGATATCAAGATCAAGATGCATGATGGAGTGGTTCGAATCTTAACGGATGTAAGGCACGTTCCCGACTTGCGGAAGAATCTCATTTCAGTTGGTGCTTTGGACTCCGGGGGTTGCAAGATTGTAACAGAGAACGGAGTGAAGAGGGTTGTTCGAGGTTCCCTAACAGTGATGAAGGGTGTTCGTCACGGTAATCTATATACTCTCTTGGGTACGACGGTGACGGGAGATGCAGCGGTTGGAACTGATGGAAGTGGTGGAGACTCATGTGAGCACACATGGTTACGACATAGGCGGCTTGGGCACATGTCAGAGAAGGGTCAGGATTTGCTTGGTAAGGAGGGCTTGCTGAAGAATCTGAAGAAACCTTGCATGGATTTTTGTGAGGATTGTGTGTATGGAAAGGCGCACAAGATTTAATTTCTGAGAAGCAATCACAAGAGCAGAGGGATACTAGATTATGTGCACACAGATGTTTGGGGTCCGGCTTCGACAACTTCTAAGGGTGGTTCCAGATATTTTGTCTCATTCATAGATGATCATTTGAGGTATGCTTGGGTGTATTTCTTGAAGCATAAGAATGAGGTATTTGAGACATTCAAGAAGTGGAAGGCGATGGTTGAGAATAGGACGGACAAGAAATTGAAGATACTGAGATCTGATAACGGTACAGAGTATACAGACGGTGCTTTCAAGGAGTTTTGTGATCAGGAGGGGATTGCCAGACACTGGTCAGTTAGGTCTACACCACAGCAAAATGGGGTCGTGGAGAGACTGAACCGAACACTGCGGGAGAAAACAGTGAGTATGCGATCTTATGCTGGTTTGGGCAAAGAATGGTGGACAGAGTCGATTGCTACAGCTTGCTATATAGTGAATCGATCTCCACATTCGACATTAGACGGTGATACACCCTATCGGGTGTGGTTAGGGGAGCATGCAGATTATGAGAGTCTCCGAATCTTCGGGTGTACCGCCTACTATCACGTCAACGAAGGAAAGCTTGACGCAAGAGCCAAGAAGGCAATTTTCTTGGGGTATGCAAAGAGTGTAAAAGGCTATCGCTTTTGGTGTACAGAAGATTCAAAATTCGTGATCAGCAGAGACGTTACCTTTGATGAGAAGTCCATGATTGCTAGGGTGCCCAAGGATGATGATGTTGAGACTGTTGGGAATTCTAAGTCCCAGGTTATTGATATAGAACCTAAAGACCAACAAGGTTCTAGTCATGTTCAAGTGGGAAATCAGGTTGATGATGAGCTTGAGCAGGAGGAGGTTTAGCAGGAGAACACACAGGCACTGCAACAGCAGCAGCTCGAGGATAGCTTGGCTTTCACTAGGCCAAGGCGAGCATACAAGTACAGAAGCTGGGGGCTGATCAACCCCTAAAGCACTATAAGCAGGTTAATTTGGTTGAGTACGCACTCTCAGTGGAGGAAGATGAGCCGGTCTCCTTCAAAGAAGCTATTCGGGATAGAGATAGCGAGAGTTGGTTGGCTGCGATGGAGGAGGAGATGGAATCTCTCCGGAAGAACCAAACATAGGAGGTGGTCCCATTGCCCATAGGAAAGAAAGCTATAGGTTGTAAGTGACTGTATAAAAGAAAGGAACATCCTTCAGAGTTCGGTGGTACGAGGAATAAGGCAAGACTAGTGGCTAAGGGGTTTGCACAAAGAGAGGGTGTGGATTATAATGAGATATTTTCTTCGGTGGTGAAACACACTTCTATTCGGATGCTATTGAGTATTGTTACTCATGGTGATCTTGAGCTGGAACAACTCGACGTCAAAACAGACTTCTTGCACAGAGACTTGGATGAAGAGATCTATATGCATCAACCTGAGGGCTACAAGGTTGAGGATAAGGAGCATCATATATGTCGCTTGAGGAAGTCACTTTATGGATTGAAGCAATCTCCTCGATAGTGGTACAAGCGATTTGACTCCTTCATGCTAAAGCATGGGTTCTCCAGAAGCGAGTATGATTGTTGCGTCTATATTCGAAAGCTTCATGGAGGTGATCATATCTATCTACTTTTGTATGTGGATGACATGCTTATTGCTTCGAGAAGTAAGGTGGAGATAGATAAGTTAAAATCTCAACTTGGTAAAGAGTTCGAGATGAAGGACATGAGTGCTGCTAAGAAAATACTAGGTATGGAGATTAGAAGAGAGCGGGCAAATCGGCGATTGTTCTTGAGTCAGAAGGGCTACATAGAGAGGGTGATCGCGAGGTTCGGAATGCAAAGTGCTAAGTCAGTGGTGACTCCATTGGCTCCACACTTCAGGCTTTCAGATAAACAATCTCACACTACAGTGAAAGATAAGGCACACATGTAGCGTGTTCCTTATACTAGTGCAGTTAGCAGTTTGATGTACACCATGGTGTGTACACGCCCAGATATTTCACAAGCGGTTAGTGTGGTCAGCAGATTCATGGTGAATCCGGAAAAGGCGCATTGGGAAGCTGTGAAGTGGGTCCTGAGGTACTTGAAGGGTACCGCGGATACAGGTCTATGTTTTGGTGGAGAGACATGTCAGATTGATGGATTTGTGGACTCAGATTATGCGGGCGATCTAGACAGACGACGATCTACTACTGGTTATGTATTCAGTATACATGGTGCTCCAGTTAGGTTGCGATCGATGTTACAGGTTATAGTGGCACTTTCTACTACAGAGGCTAAGTACATGGCCATGACAGAGGGAGTGAAGGAAACATTATGGTCGTGGGGTCTGTTAGACAATTTGGGGATTGAGCAGGATAGTGTGAACTTGTGGTGCGATAGTCATAGTGCAATTCATTTGGCTAAGAATCAAGTTCATCATGCTCGTACCAAGCATATCGACGTCCGGTATCATTTTATGCGGGATGTCATAGAGGAAGGTGATATTTCTCTCATGAAGGTGCACACGAATGAGAATCCAGCAGACAAGGTGATATTTCTCTCATGAAGGTGCACACGAATGAGAATCCAGCAGACATGTTAACCAAGGTGGTGACAAGTAGCAAGTTTCAGCATTGTGGTGCACACGAATGAGAATCCAGCAGACATGTTAACCAAGGTGGTGACAAGTAGCAAGTTTCAGCATTGTTTGGACTTGCTTCATATCAGCCCGTGTTGATCTGCCCAAGAGGGCAATTGCAGAATTACGATTAGCTTGATCCCGATAGAGGGTACGTAGGCAGCCGCAGTATAGTGGCGCAACTGGTGTGGTGTTCTCGGTGTTCTTCTGGTGGTCGTCCAAAATTTGAGGTTTATCAAATGATGGACGAGGTGGAGAATTGAAGAGAACTGACCTCGACGGGCTGGCGAGGGTTTGAAGGCGTCGGAGCTCGCCTGTGGAGGTCGCCTGCGGGCGTGTTTGGCGAGGGCTTGAAGGCGAGATCGAGGTCGCCTGCTCGCGTGCGTAGAAGCTCGCCTGTTGGAATGTCGCCTGAAGCCCTTGATTTTGCCTGTTTGAGTGTGAGCGGGCGTTGGGATTTCGCCTGCGTGGGTGGAAGCCAGCTGGAGCTTGCTGGCGCCTGAACTACCCTAGGGTTTCCCTATAAAAGGGAGACCATGTTCTCGAGCTGGGGTTGAGTCCATCTTCAGCGAATTTCAACAGAGAGGAAATTCTCTCTGTGGCGGCGCTTTAACTCCAGCGAAAAATTCTCAGGAGTAATTGAGAATCAATTTTTGGTCAAGAAAAATTGTATTATTCCTGTAGCATTTACTACAGTGAAGAAAGTTGGTGTTATGAGAGCTCTAGCTTGAGATTCTTACTTTTATAAGCTTTGTAATTTCTTGTGGTTAAATAAGAAATTATTTGTGTAGCTCCCGTGGACATAGGCAAGTTTGCCGAACCACGTATATTTGTTGTCCCGCCTCATTTACTTACTGTTCATCTGTGTAGTTGTTTATTGCTTGTGTTTTCTTAGTTTGAGTTTGGCATAAACTTAAACTAGGATTGTTTTCTCTTGGGAATTAATTAGCTTCCGCGGCGGTACGAGCGCCTCGCGCTCCCAACAATTTGTATGATTGACCCAAAAAAAAATCACCCTAAGATTTTAAAAGTAACACTCTGTTTACTCTCCTTTAACTTTTACAAATTTAACTTGGATATAAAATCTAATGTCATAGAATTTCACAACCACTGTCACCTTCATATAAAATAAATTTGAAAACTGATGATCATATTCTAGAATTGATGGTTACTATACTTGGAATTTAATATGAAATGACGTAGAGTGTCACTTTTAAAATCTTAGACAAATTTATGTTAATCATGTAAATCCTAGAAGTTTGCTATATATAGTGTTTTTTGGCAGTTGACTGTAGCAGTTGCAGTTTCCATAAAGCATGTACATTGCTATTTTCAGACAATATTGAAAATTTCAGCATTGTATGCCATCACTAATCTCTCAAAATGCGTTGCAACCCTTGATTAAAATCCAACATCAAGCAAAAATAAATCTTTCCCTTCCGCTGAATAATTTTTAAGAATTTCCTCATAAATAAATTTAAATGCAATGTCCTTAGATACCCTAGTTTCTTCACAAAATATTACTCCCTCTGTCGCTGGAACAAGGAGGAGAGGGGCTGAACACAAGTGTAACAAGGATTAAGGTCTCTCTCAAAGGAGCCCACCAAATAATAGAGAACAATTAATAGAGAAGGAGAAAACTCACTTCGCCAAAAGATTAATTTATTCATTCAAGCTATAAAACTAATCTTCATAGTTCCAACAGAAGGAATACATAAAAAGAGATGCTAAGAGCTAGCAATACACCGCACTGTCAAATTTGCTAAAATCCTACCGAATTATATATTAAGGAAAGCACATTAAGTCTAGTGTCTAAAATTTTAACAACCAGGTGATTTATAATCTTCTAGAGAACGCTACATTTGAAAAAAGGCAGAGTGGTCAGGCTCGCTTTGTTAGCTCGGGTCTGATCCATTGCCTTGGATCTACTTGGTATCACCATCCTCCCAGTTCATGTGGTTTTCCCTACAAAACAGTAACTTTTTACGGTTAATTAATTTTTTATTAATGGTAATACCGAGAAGATCTACTCGAGACATGTTAATTTAAGACATAAAAAAGTTGAAAATTAAACTTTAGAAAGTAACATACCTCAACTGTAACGTTGGCTGGGTGAGCTTGGGTTTGATCAGTTGGCTTGCGTCTGTTAGGTATCATCAACTTTAGAGAATATGTTTTTACCTGGGAAAATTGATAACTATTGCAATTAATTGTTTTATTAATGATAATCTAAACAAGATCTTCGCGATACATGTCAGTGAAAGAGATGAAAAAGTTGGAAATAACTTTAGGAAGTGACTACCTCAATTTTAAGTTCTCGTAACTCAGAGAAACTTTGGAGAAACGCAGTGAGAGCAGAAATTTGTCCTGGATCTTCTATACCTAGATCAGTTATGCGCAATTTCTTTAGCTTCGGAAAAATAGAGGCGAACTCCAAAGGCGTGAAGCGCGAGGGTAAGCACTAGAAGAAACAAGAAAAATATCGTAAATAAATGTTCGATTTGACCAGAAGTAAAAATTTCAAAGGTTTTTGAACCAAGAAAATGAAAATATAAGAAGCAATTTCTATCCTCATAGTAAACCATATCAATCACCGCCACATATGAGTTGGAAGCAAGTATTGCTTTAGAGATAGCATCAAATGTTGGCTCAAAATTTTAGCAGAAGTCTTTCTAATTTGGAGGGAAATGATAAATTTCACAATCATCCTAAATGCAATAGAAATAAAATTTACTCATTTGTGCATTGCAGATGGCTTGATGTTGTTCTGTAGAGAGGATTTTGATTCTGTTGAGCGATTGTTTCTTAAATTCTCTCATTTCTCTCAAGCATCTAGCCTTTGTGTTAATGTTTCTAAAAGCCAAGCTTTCTTTGGAGGTGTTCCTATTAGTACTAGGCATCATATTATTCATTTACTTCAATTTGTAGAGGGGGTCTTATACCTGTGAAATATCTTGGCATCCCTTTATTATCCAAGGGTCCTACCTCTATTAACCGTGGGGTTTTGATTGAGAGGATTATGGCTAGAATCAAGTGCTGGACTGCTAGATTCCTCACTTATGCTAGCAGATTACAACTAATCAAGTCAGTTATTTACAGCATCCATGCCCATTGGGGTAGCATCTTCCTCTTGCCAAAAAAAGTGATCCATTCGTATATAGCTTTCCTATGGACAGCTCTATACAATAATATGTAGATAATAATATGTACTTTTCTCAAAATGATGAGAATCTGAGGTTATATGGTTCTTTGATTCTGTAGTAATATACAGCCCTCTTGATTCCCTACTAACTGGCTTCATTGGAAAGTTTTTGTAGGATAAAAACATATGTGGATGACTATTAGCAATAAGATACAGTTTAAGTTATAAAAGGCATGTACCACTAAGTAACAAGAATTAATAAGAGAGTTCTCTACTTTCTGAAGACTTGCTCTGGAGGTGGCGCAACTGGATTATTTAGAGAAGTAGAGGAATTAGGGTAAAGCTAAGTATGTAGTATTAAGTATCATTTTAGCTTTCTTTTTCCTTTAAAAAAAAAAAAAAATCTGGTGGTGCATTAGACACTAGAGACGAGACAAAAAGAACGATCCACATGCCCAAATGAAAAAAAGAGTGGAGGGTAAATAAGTGGCATGCAGTATTTAGTGTTTCCATAAGTTCATAAAATTTCCTATAACATTTAGCTTTCTCAACTATTCTATATATATACCTTTCGTTGCTTAGACCGCACCAGTATTAGAGGGAGATTTAAAGGACTTCTCCCATCCCAATCTCGAAGACAACTATATATGATTAAAATCAAGTTTGAAGAATGATCTTGGTCGTTACTTTGTATGTCAGGAGCAACAAGACTTAGACCTCAAATGAGCCAGGTTCCAGAGAAATGAATGAACAAACAACTAGATTCTTGTTTATAAAAAATCATATTTATATTAATAAGAGTATCACACGAGGTATAAAGATTACTAAATGTGTTTCTTGTTTTGCATAATTTCCAATTTACCATCAATGTCTTTTTATCATCAAAACGAGATAATTTTAGAGAAATCCTTTTTCCAATTATCTAAATAGGGTTTGAGCCCTTCTCTTCCCCCGCGTCACGCGAGGGGGCTAAATGTTTATCTCGCTAACAACTATATAAGCATCAAAGTTATAAAAATTGTACCTGAACCACTATATAAGCATCAAAAGTTATAAAAATTGATCAAAGAAAATTGTACCTGAACCACCATATAAACATCAAAGTTATAAAAATTGATCAAAGAAAAACGGGGACGTTCACGTACCTGAACCACTTCACCATCCAGTTGAAGCCGCTCAGAGTTCCTAATCCCAGCAAGAAGTTCTTTCAGTGACCGCAATGAGTCGCTGTCGGTAGGCAGCCCACTCCTCTCAATACAGATCCTCGACGTCCTGAGCATCGGAGCTGAAACCCGAAGCCTCCTTAATTTACAAGAAAGTATGTCCAATTTCAACTTTCTCAGATTCGGAGTCTCAATATCCATATCACACGTTCGTGACGCCGTTGCCCACACAAAGCACTCCAGCCTCTGATGGTTGACTACGAGTTGTCTCAACACACAAAATCCTATCTTCAGTGAACTCAGATTCTCGCATGCCGATATTATCTCTCTAATGGCTGTATCGCTTGTTTCAATACCGCGAAGGTCTAGATGTCTGAGGCTAGTGCAAGAAACAAGAAGTGGAGAAATGTCACGCGGGAAAATGCAATACCGAAGTTTGAGTTTTGTCAAGGACTTTGAACTCAGTAGACGTTGCAGCACTACGTGGCTCACATGGACCAGCGTCAGGCTCACGTTGGTAACCCTCATCCTGGCTAGGTTGCCGGCCCAACGGTCCGTTACGGGCTTGGGGGCAAATGAGGAGAGCGATATTCTGAACTTGAGGATGTTGACTTGAGGGTGTGATAGGACTGCGTCTATGCATTGGATTTGTTTGGTTAAGTCGTCGTGACGTCGGCCACTGATGTAGAAATCTGTGATGTGGACCCACAGATTGCGCCATCGGCGAGAGAGGATGCTGGTTCTGGCGGCTTCGGTGAAGGGGAGGAGGGAGAGGATGATGGAGATGAGGTGGTCTGGGAGGAGGCTGAAGGGATCCATCCTTAAATAAAATAGGAAAAGTGTTTCCTGGGGTTTACAGAGGGATGACGAACGATATTTATGAGTATGAGGTTTTAGATAATGCGGTTGGATTTTCGGTTTATTGCTTCGGGAAATAAATCTGTGTTTGTTGCGGATTTTTCGATCAAAGATAGGATCAGATTATATGTATTTTTTGGGTAATAAATTTTTTGATTTGGATGAGATTTTTGAGACAGATTCTTATCTCATGTCATTTTCAATTATTTGGAAAAGGATTTATATTTGACAAGCTTGCACGTATGCGCAGATATAACTCCTTCTAATCCCCTTTGGAATAACGCGTGCGTGTGTGTTCACGGTACTAATAAGGAGGCCTTTCTTTTTCTATGTGCTCTATTTTTTTTACAACAATATCAACTTTGCATTTTCATTTTTAATTTCTTTCTCCATTAACTTTTGCTTTGGTTTGTAAATCCTCGGCTCAATTTGTGAACAATGACATGATTTCTGCTAGACACTTTTAAATGTTCTGTTGTGCGCAACGGAGTCGATAATCAAATCCGAGATAGGAGCACAAATCAATAACCAAATAAGTACCACACATGCAAGACATCAAATTTACGTGGTTCTACAATGTGCCTACGTCCACGGGGTAAGGAGGGGATAGATCTCACTAACAGAGAGAGAGAGAGAGAGTGCAAATAGAGATTACAATCACTTAATAATCTCACAAACAAATCACTCTTGATTTTTACCTCTTCTCTCAAGCTCTCTCACAAAATTGCCCAAATAACAAACCTTTTTACCTCTTCTCTCAAGCTCTCTCACAAAATTGCCCAAATAACAAACCCTAATCACTCTCTTAATCTCACTCAAGCTCTCTCACAAAATTGCCCAAATAACAAACCCTAATCACTCTCTTAATCTCACTCAAGCTCTCAGAAGCTAATTGATTCTGATGATGATTTAAGTGAGAGGAGTGGGGGGTTTTATAGCTTCCATGCCCCCCTCTTGTCAACAATGGCGGGTCCCCTAAACTTCGGCCACCCCTCTCTCTTTGTCAACGAGCCACCGAAGCCCTCTCATTTTTTTGACTTCTTCATTTTGTTGGCTTGATTTTGTTGACAGCCACAATCTCCTTTCGGTGGCTACATGTTTATTTGACCCCAACAATCTCCACCTCAGTGAAGTTTTCCAATAAAACTGAGCCGACCCCGATATCAACCTTCCCACTTGTTGCGTCCAGCACGAAGTGGAATCAATCCACGACAACGGACTCAATCCACAACAAGTCGGGAATCCAAATGAGAATTCTAACAATATATCTCCACCGTGTCGATGTCAACTCATCAAACTGGCTGCATCAAATTGACTGCCTACGTATCCTCTTGCCCAAGGAATCAAGCCTCACGTAGTTCACCCAAATGGCCTCTAAAGGTCCTCAACAACGAAGAATATTTAACAACTCCAAACAATGACAAAATTTTACACTAGTGATAACTTTGGTTAACATATCTGTCGGATTGTCCTTTGTGTGGATCTTCTCCAATCTAACATCTCCATTATTCAAGACGTCTCGAACAAAGTGGAATCTGACATCAATGTGCTTTGTTAGTGCACGGGGAGTTGAGGTGGTTAGACCAATACCCCGAAATGCTCCCAGCATAGGAGCCCTGGTTCTTTGCCAAATAGATAGCTGACATGCTATCATAATTTACCCTGATGGTATCCTGTACGTGTAATCCCTAAGTCTTCCAATAATTCCTACAACCACAAATCCTCCTTCATAGCTTCAGTCAATGTCATATACTCCGCCTCCGTAGTGGAGAGAGCCACTATAGACTAAAGTGTATATCTCTAACATACTGGTACTCCTGCTAGTGTAAACACATATCCAGTAGTAGACCGACGCTTGTCAAGATCCCAAACATAATCCGAATCCACATATCCAACACAATCCTGTCCATTTCTCTCATTCTTCTCAAACACCAAACCAACATCCACGGTACCTTTGATATACCGTAGGATCCACTTTACAGCCTCCCAATGACCCTTCCCAAGGTCGTGCATGTACCTAGACACCATGCTCATGACCTGTGATAAATCTAGCCTTGTACACACCATCATATACATCAAGCTACCCACCGTATTGGCATATGGAACTTTGGACATGTACTCACGATCCTCAACTGAAACATGTGATATTTTAGCTCTAAGTTTAAAGTGGAGAGCTAATGGAGTACTCACCGCCTTGACATTGCCATCAAAACTGAATTTCTTTAGCATCTTCTGCAAGTAGCTCCTCTGTGTCAACTTCAACCTCCCCTTCACCCCGTCTCTGTCAATCTTCATACCCAATATCTTCATAGCAGGAGCATATCGTCAATATATAACAACAAATAAACATACTCATCATTTTTGTAGCTTGTGTAAATAAACACACGGGTCATATGGGCTCCTCGTATACCCTTGACCTATTGGCCTTCTTGTTTTGATGATGTTTAACAAATAATTTACCACTAATGTTGTTTGCCTAGTATTTGTATTTTCTTATTTATTGTAGACAAACAATATGTTGGAGGATGGATAGAATCAAGCATTCACGATCATATCCAATGGAGGTTGACGGAATAGTGGAGTGAAGCTACACAATTCAAGTTAAAGATTCAAGTTCAAGCTTCATCCGCAAGTATACCAAGTCAAGCTTATTGAAGATCAAGATTGCTTGGGTAACATTTAGTTTAGGTGTTATATTATGTGTGTTGGTACTTTAAGCTCAATATAATATGCACACATATTTTATTGGTTTCTTTGTATATATATTTAGTTATATATATACATAAGTTAAGTTTTGGTTTCTATGTATATTTTACATGGTTTTGAGTTTTTAAGTTTTAATATGAAACAATTGAATACAATTGAATATACATTTCTTATTTCATACTTATTTGCATATATATGATTTCATCAATACCAATTTTATATAGTTTAATGAAATCATGTTTTAGTGCATTATATGTGTATTTTTTAATAAAATACTATATTTATTATTTATAGACTTCATAACAATAGTTTACATCTTTCTTTAAGTCTATAAAATTATTTTGTATTATTTCAAAATATGATTACGCTAAAATGTTAAAATTCATGTGTTCACTTTTCATGTTTTGGACTATTTTGTAAAATGATGATATTTTTTACTTAGGAGGTCCTTTCTAAAAACTAGTTTTTGTAGCATGTGTACTATCATGTCTACAATCATTTTCCAAAGTTTTATATTTTTTGGAATTTATTTGATATTTTTAAACATGGTTTTAAACTCAAAAAACTGTTTAAAACCTGTCAATTTCATATAACAGTTTGCGATCGACTGCCATGGTCGACCGTCCTTGAGTCCAGAGACTCAAAACTACTTTTGATGGCTCGCGGTTGACCGTGGCGATCGACCGGTTTCGCGGTCGACCACCACTGTCAACCGTCCGTTGTCCAGAGTCAAACCCTAGCCTTTTTGCTGCTCGCGGTCGACCGCGAGATTTTTACGGTCAACCGCCGAACTGACCGTTGGGTTCTAAGGGCTAGTTCCTCACTTTTTCTCTATGGGCTTTTTGGTCATTTCCTTTGGGGTTTTGGCTAAGATTTCGGGAGGCTATATATACCCCCTTTCTCTCATCTTTCAAGTACCCAAGAAGTTTTTAAACAAGAGTTTAACAAGGATTTAAATTTTATTTAAGTTTGGTTTTAAGTTTGTTTAAGGGTTTGGTTTGTGAAGAATTCCACAAGAGGAAGTGGAGATCAATTCATTGATATTTGAGCTTATTGGAGAAGTTTTCTAAACTCTATCTAGCTTTATATTTTGTATTGTTTGATTATCATTCTATTAAGCTAGTATTTTATATTGAGTTTAGTTGATTTGATTTCACTCATTGTTTACACACACCCACTTGAACTTATTGTATTTGCATACATCGTATATTTGGGTTGGTGAGAGTTGTAACAATTGAGTGTGAGCTTACATTGTATTCTCATCCATATTAGAGAACAATCATTTGTTGTATTGTGCTTATTGTGAGATTCACTTTGTAATACACTATTGTGCTTATTGTGAGATTCACTTTGTAATACACTTGTACACCGAGAGAAGTGTGTGGTGTAAGTCGAGAATCGTCCCAAGAGGAGTGGCGTCGGTTGACGAACCTAGGGAGAGGTTGTATCCGAGCACTTAAGGGAGACATGTCTAGGTCCAACACTTGAGAGGGTGTAGAGTGGGATTGCAAGAGTGTTGATTGTAAAGTTTTCGGTTAGCTAGAAAACTGAGTGTGAGGTGTAAACGTTATTCGGCTAAACGTAGAAAACCCGGTTGTGATAGTGGATTTCTCCCCGAGAGTGGGGAGTAGAGACGTAGGACGGAAGGTCCGAACTCCGTGATCATATTGTGTGTTTGCATTGTTTATTTACACTATCACTCTTATCTTATTTATATTTATTTCACCCTTGTGTTAGTTTATATATCCTTGCATATATTTCATTATATACCTCTTTGCTAGGATATATCTCTTTGTTCATATCACTTATCCTAGCTCACATATCTTGTTGTATTTTATACTTGCTAGGATAACTTGTTAATTAGTTTTAATTAGCATAAAATCGGATTAGATTAGCATAAGATCCTAGTCACCCTCCCCTCTAGGGTCTAACAATTGGTATCAGAGTTTGGTGCTTTTTGATTTAAAGACTAATCATCTTGAGTTAAAGGTCCAAGTTATCTTGTTATGCTAATCTAGTTATGATTGCATTTGTCTTGCTTGCATATATTCACATATATATCATGAATATAAATGTATTTCGTTTAGGCTATAATCCAAATATTGCTCCAAAATATAGAAATTTCCTTTATGCTCAATGGTGCTCTAAATTTAAAATATTTGTTGAATCTAGAAATATCAAATTATAGGAAGTTATTAATTGTGCTTATATTGTGTCCACATTGGAGAAATCCAAGTGGAGCAATCATGATAAGAAAATGT